AGAGAGAGAGAGAGAGAGAGAGAGAGAGAGAGAGAGAGAGGAACAAAGAGAGCGTGAGAATAGCGCTGTGCAACGATGCGAAAGGTTGCCTTTCGATACGCGACTCGATGCTTTTTCACTGGAAATGAACTGACTACCGTTCACTAACATAGTGGAGTATCACCCGGAAGAGTGATCTGGCGATTGAGATATAGACTGCGTTGGTTGCCAATGAGAAAAAATGCCGTACAAATATATTGGCCGTAAATATATTGGCCTTAGAAAGATTATTTATTTAATTCTGAAGATAAATGTAGTTGCTTATTTTGTTTATTTTTTTTTTACTTTAAATATTATGCTAAAGGCAGTAATTCTAAAATATATTAAATAAAAATAATTTTGTAGCTCCAAATATAAATTAAATATAAGTAAAATGCTTATAGAAGTCTCTGCGTAAATAGTATCAAGTAAAGTATACAGCCGGTCTGGCGTTAATCGCTGCGCGTGTTCTTAGCGCCAAGATATTATGTATCTCCTGATATATTTATAAGATGATAAGATATATGTATAATTTATAAATAGCCTGTAGTTCAATGCAAATATATAGTTAACTTCTTATTGATAAGTACATTCCAAGCACAATTGTTTACGAATTATATCTTATCGCATTATAAATACAAGGATAGTTTTTGAAAAGTTTTGAGCCTCATCATGAAGATGACATTACTCGTCAAAACCATTCTGATATTACAATCGTACATGTTTTGCAAGATACCTGTGAAAATTATAGCCATTTTGGATGCTTAATTGTTGTTTGAGAATCATTTGTGCCAATCGATTAGTGTTTTCGTTTGATGAAAATCTGTGTCTTCTGAGCTTAACTTTGAGTCTAGGAAACAGGAAAAAATTGTTGGGGATTAGATCTAGTGAATACGATGAGTAGTTAATTAATTCAAATCGTAATTTCGTTTGAAATTTTCAATTTCAAACCGTAAATTTTTATTATGATAATCATCAATATTTGATTTTTTTCATTTTTACAAAAATCCTGATATCGACTGGTACAAACAACAATTGAGCGTCCAAAATAACTACAATTTTTACAGATATCTTGCAATACATGTACAATTGTAGTAGAATGGTTTTGACGAATAATACCATCTTCATTAAGATGGTAAGTTAAGATTCAAAATTTTTCAAATGACTCTTGTATATCATTTACGCATTATCAACTGCAGAGATTCAAATAGACATTTTATTTATATTTGACTGTAACTAAAATATATTGCGTTTATATTTAATTTTATGTTAAATATTAATTTTATATTAATTATATATTAATATATATATAAATGCTTGAATCTAAATGACAGATTGTGAATAATTGATGTGAGTAATTGATGACAATGGAGTTATAAGGCTTTGGAGTTTGACTTGTAATATTTTCAGAGTGTTAGCACATCTCTAGTATATTTAATATAAAATAAAGAGAGTCTATAATAAGTTCTCGCCAAGTGACGCGACTAAATCTCTGCCTCAGTGCTAGACACTCGTAAAGTTAGCTACATAAAAAACGTCCTGTAGATCCTGACGATGACGCTGTTCATCGGCGCCTCTATTTTGGGTGCCTGCGGCTATTACCTGGCGGAGTTCCAGCAGCGCCGTGCGTTTTTGGAGACCAGGCAGAGCCTGGAGGCTCAGCTGATGATCGAAGAGCAGAGCGCGGAGCAGGAGCGACTGTTGCTGAGCGTTCTGCCGGAACACGTCGCAGTCAAGATGCGGCAGGATCTCGGCGCGTCTTTTGACACGCAATTCAAGAAGATCTACATGTCTAGGCATGAAAACGTGTCGATACTCTATGCTGACATAGTCGGCTTCACCGCGATCTCGTCGACCTACAGCGCCAGCGAGCTAGTCAAGATACTCAACGAGCTCTTCGCGCGATTCGATCAACTCAGTGAACGGTACATATTTTAAAGTTTTTACTTTAATTCTTCAGAATTGATGTAGATCTGTAGATCCCTCAATTGACCGACTCAATTGTCAATACTCTTTTGGAATTGGCAGTGCGTCTATTTGAACTCATTCATACGAAAAGAAAGATTTCGAAAAAATTTTAAATTTTGCTAGATACAAATCTGAAAATAATTTTGTTGAACATCAAAATAATTATGTTGGAAATTAAAAAATAATAAGTAATACTACAAAAAATTTTGATATTCTGATGGCAACTAAAGTTTGAGTTTCCAATACATTATTTTAATAATCAAACAAAGTTATTTTCAGATATATACCTAACAAAATTTTAGATTTTCCAGTAAAATCTTTCCGTGTAATTATATTGTCTACTCTATATTACATTTGCAAATTTGATTTATTGTTATTAAATACTTTGATATTTATTTTTTTTATATGAATTATTTTTATATAATGCCACTTTGATTCCTCGAAATTAATTAGTAAAATCAATTAGCCTCTTAATCAACTTGTATTAAGTAGATTTCACAGATCCAGTGTCATACACTGGATCTGTGAAATCTACTTAATACAAAGAAATCAATAACCGTGTCATAGATTTTAATCAATTTCAGAAGATTAATAAATACATTTGCTATCTGTTCAATGCAGCTCTTATATTAAGGCAAAGAAGAATGTTTAATACTAGTAAATTTAACAGCTACATTTTCTCATTACATTTGCGCATTTTTATATTCTCCCTATCGATTTTATAAGTGAAGAACAATACACACAAGAGAAATGCTGCAGTTCTGGCAGATCGATATCGTAATAATCAGATCTGAACGATTCAATTCGACTAATAATTAATACTGTAATTATTTGACGAATTAAGTTAATTGGGATTATTGGTGAATTTGGAATAGTTGAATATTTAAAAGATATTAAATATCCGTCTGCGATAGCGAGTTATTTTTGTTCTCCATCCGTTATATGCATATTAAGTGAGGCCTCGCGTGTTATCGAATGCTAATCGTAAAACGGTACGGCAAAAGTGGTAGAATTCCATAACTTGCGCGTTCCATTTCCGCCGGCGGTAATGAAAATTGTATCGGTCCGACGACGAAATTGATTCCATCAGTGAATTCCCTGTCGATTTTGTCTTCGACTATTTTGACTCTGTGAATCCTGCTGCAGGAGGAAGTCTTTCGAGGATACCAGCAATCAATATCCCCGGGGACCAAGGTTTTTCATCGCTGCCAAATATACTTTGCTTACGTGATCATCGTCTGTTGTCGCATAATATTTTATTTATAGTCAAGAATATATTTTGTATGTATCCTTCTTTACACACACACACACACACACACACACAAATCAGTATAGAAATTTCCTTCCGATCGAATAGGATTAGAATGTAGTAATGAAAATTATGCAATATGTATGAAATCTTATTCACAGATACGAGCAAATGCGCATCAAGATATTAGGGGATTGTTATTACTGCATAAGTGGCGCACCTGTCGAAAGGCCAGATCATGCGGTCCTTTGTGTGTATATGGGTCTGTCTATGGTGGAAGCGATTAAATATGTTCAGCAAACGACTAACAGCCCCGTCGATATGAGAGTGGGTATTCACACGGGTGCGGTACTCGCCGGGGTTCTCGGACAGAGGCAATGGCAATTCGATGTCTACAGCAAAGACGTCGAGTTGGCAAATAAAATGGAGAGTAGTGGTAGGGCGGGGTAAGAAAAGCTTCTTATATATAAAATTGTTTAATTTGTGAATGCAATTATAGATGCTATTTAGGAATTAATTACAATCGAATTAAAAGAGTCTTCACTTAACGCTAAATGTGTATTCCGTTTGATCTTAACTTTTTAGTTACTAATATGATGACAAATATTATTTTATCCGATAGTAACGCGATTGAGCGAAAGGATAATACGATATTCTAATTCGGAAAGAACGATTTTGTTGAGGTATTTAAAAATTTAGTTAGATCTAAAAATAATTTTGTTGAACTAATATGTATATAAAGATATAAAGATAACTATACAAATTTTATGTACAATTAACGTAAAAAATACTAAATAAATTTTAATAAATATTTGTTTAAATAGTTTTAAGTAAATATTTATTAGATATAAACATATATTTATTATGCAAAAACCGTTAATTTGATTTAATTATCACTTTTTTATTAAGTTTTTATTAAGTATTTATTTACTGTAAATAAATTTTTACTCAGTACTGTTCAAAATAATATATATTAAGATTTAGTAAATTTTTTTTAGTGCGTATTGAGTAAATTATTTTACAGTTATTGCAACTAAAATAATTAATTCAATTATGTATAATAGTTGTTTTAAAGTTACTATTGTCTTTTTTTGAGTGTATCAAGATGATTATGAGAATATATCAAGTTATTGGAATGTATCAAAATAATTATGTGGGATATTCAAGCACAATGAGCAATATTGCAAAAAGTTTTGACATTTTAATGATCAGCTTGAACATCCTAATTAATTATTTTGATGATTTAACAAAATTATTTTCAAATCTGCGACTAATTTAATATTTGAATACTTTAGTATTCAAAAAAAAAAACTCTTTCCGTGTACTTATTCGTTCAGAAAAGTCTCGCCGAGTGCATAAATAAACAAATGCTTTAAGGAGGGTACACATCTCGAATTCGACGCTGAGTTTCCTAAATGGGGAATTCGAGGTCGAGCCGGCGCACGGAGAGGATCGGGAAGAGGCACTCCAGAAAGCTGGCCTCGTCACTTACTTCATCGTAAGAGCCTTGAAGCCATTTAAGCCAGCAGTGACGAAAAGCCTCGCGTCACTGGCGGACGCGGAAAACTCGCAAAGAATAATAGAGAATGTGCAAGACAAAGTGGATAATATTCGAGAGGATTCCGAGGAATTTCAGCAACGTCTAAGGAAGAAACTTGACAGCAGAGGTAAAAATGAAAAAGTCAGACATTTTAAGTTGAAATTGGGGAACGTTAAACTCGGCTAAATTAAATCCGAGGAGATTGGAAATGGATCGTTGTTTTATTTCGACTCGGTAAGCGGCTTAAAAATTCGCGCATGCGTTCGTAAAGTTACTCTCATCGGTTGCGAATTATCGACTCTCAAGCGAAAGCATATCACTATGTTGATTAATATTCAATTACATAACAAACTTCATTAAAATCGCGAAAATAATCTTTAGGGGCCATCTAAAAATTTTAAATACGTTTCCCATATATTACATTTTAATAATTGAATAACACTCTAATAAACCATTTTATTTTTGATCTAATTATTTGCTCATAAATTGACCTTTCTATTATCATTATTTCTATTATCATTATTTTAAATACATTCGAGATCTACTATCGACGGAGACTGACAATTTGTTTTACATTTGCGAAATTTCGCGTTCAAGAATCTTCAAATTTATTAAAATCAGAATTTTTTAATTTTGCAAATGAATAAAACAAAGAATATAACTTCAGCAAGAATCCGTCCAGAACATAAATCGACAAAATTTCATTCTTTAAATGTTAAATTGATCTGTTAGAGTTGTTTCTTATAGTATTTTTTTTTTACTAATTTTAAATGCCTGTTTGTCAAATTTATAAGAAGAGAATGTTTGAATAACATGCATAAAATTTTATAAATTTTGATATTTTCTGTTTTGATATTTTAATTTTGATATTTATTAGTTGATAAAATTTCATTTTTTTAATATTAAGTTTTATGTCAAATTCGTATGTTAAATCAATTTAATAGGGTATTTTATAGTGTATTTTTTTGCGCTAAGAGATTTCGTTCGTCAAATTTACGAGGAGAATAATTTCTTTATCTCTTCCGCTTAAAAATAAATAAATGATTTATAAGGAATAGCTTTTAAATTTAACATGATTTTTTGTTATAAAAGACTTGAAACATTTATTTTATTCATTTTAATTAAAAAAAAGACTTCATACGCGCCAGCTGTTGTTAGAAAAATGCATAAATTTTTAAAAAGAGGTATGTCGATTATAAAAAATTGAAGTTCATAAGATAAATTCTATCCCCATTTTCGGAATTGGCATCAGAAAATAATAAGAATCAGCCAAAAGTAACAAAATAATAAAATAAGTGTAATAATAATCCATATCAATCGATGGACATCCGGCTTATTAACGACTCAACCTTAATGTGACGTCAGCGTACGAACACTCGTAGGTGGTGGAACTGACCTGAAAGGTCACGCCTCTTGGTTGACACTACGATTCAAAGATCCGAATGTGGAAACGGCGTTTCACAGCGTCGAGGAGGCCTTCTCGCCTCTGTCGCTTCTTGGTGGGCCTCTGGTCACGATGTGCGCAGCCCCAGTCTGGAAGATGCAGCCCTGGGGACCATTCACGTGGGGTGGCGCCGGGGTGGTAACTCTTTTCGGTATCGTGCTGGCCGGAGCTACCTGCCTAGGTAGCGCGGTTAGGGCGGCGTGGTTCAGGAGTACCCTCGCACTTCTGATGATATTCTCCCTCATAATCTTTCTGTTGTTAGATATGGTATGAATTTGAACAACTATTTTTGATCAATACTTGTTGCTGTAACTCGACCACTCGCTCAGCGAATTTTTTCTTTCTATCTTAATTCGCTTATCTTAGAAATCTCAGATTAATTTTTTTACGGAAATTTTGAAGCAACTCATTTTTCAGCAACAATTTAATGAACTGCACTTGTTATATAATTTTCAACATTAAAACCTACTCTGGTGAAAATAAAGATCGGAGACGAATCGAATGTAAGGGAAGAGTGACATAGAAACGTAAACAAAATTTCTACGCGAAAAGAAAGTAATAATTATTTTGTCAAGTTTGATAGTATATTTAGCAAAATTGTTTTTTTCCATATAAGAAATTTAAAATAGTAAAGCTTAAGAGAAGCATTTAAAACACTCTTAAAACGCTTCTTCTATTTTCTCTATTCTAATTCGCTCTTCGATTTTTATTTTCGCTAGGATTAGGATATTATCATTCATATTTTTAATATCTCAAAGCGTTTAAATTTTTGGTATAAATTTTTGTTTAAAATATTAAGTTTTTGATAAAAACTTATAGCGAATTTTCGGTTAAAAAATATACACTATAGTTAAAAAATATACTACAGTTAAAATTAAAGATTAAAGCCTTATTTGTACATTGAGTTAATCTGCAAGAATAAAATGCACAATTCGTGATGACGGTTTTAATGTGCTGTGCACTGAATGCATTCAATCGAATTTGCTATTAGTTTCTTTAAAGTAGACAAATAATATTAGCTATATATAATTTTTATATTTGTTTTACGTAGGCTAACTGCGCGATCATCGATGACATCGAGCCACTAAAAAACACTACTCTAAAATGGTCTCCGCGATGTCCATATCCTTCTTATTATTCATACGTCGGTGTCCTTGCGCTGGTCGCTATCTCGATGCCGACATATCTCTGTTACCTGACCAAGGCGTGCCTGATGTACTTCCTTGCCGGTGCGCAGTCCTGCATCAATGTCCTGTTCCTCTCATCGAGCCTCAACAGAGAAGAAATGGCATGTTATCGAGACATATCCTTTCCACTAAAATATTCATTAGCAGCCACTTTGTTCACTATCGCGACCGCGTTAGTCATCGTGGCGAGATACGTAAGTACAAAATGTTTTACTTAGAAAGATTTTAAATTGTTATGAATATCGTCGAGATTTATACCATCTTATTATAATGATTCGTTATCGTTAAAAATGTTGACATTGGCAATGGTCGATTGTCGCAAGGTTTAACGGGAAAATACACTGGCTGCATTACGTGCCGATCGATTTACGGAGTGTTGCAGCACGCGAGAATGGAACGACTAGTGAAAATGATTCCTTCCTTCAAGGTCGACATGTCGATAAAAAAACAATCAATTCTCATGGATCTATAAAACCGCGCCTACGATTGCCTCAATAATCTATTCTGTGTCACGTTAAATATAGATATTAAATGTAATATCGTAAATTTCACACTATTATTCGTACAAATTGACACACGTTATTAATTTAATATAATTTTTATTAATTACGTATTCTATTTTCAATATTTCGAATTAATTATTTTGGTTTCATTACTGAAATCATATTCCACTTCATGTACAAGAAAATGAATCGATGCGCTATGATTTGTCTAAAATAATCCAATCAGTATTTGGGCGTAAAATAGAAACATAATCTATTTACGGATAGCCATGATGACGGCTTCAATCGAGAAATTGGATCTCGATAATTCGTAATTTTTGAGTGGACTTTTTACGGCGTGTTGAATGACATTTTATCCGCCTAGCAGCCTCTATCTGCTATCAAAAGTGCCGAATGAGAGAAAAGCGAAAGCAATTTCACGGAATTTTCGTCCTAACGAAACATTTCCTGTCCAGTGTCACAGAAATATAATTCGCGTACGAGTTAGAACGCGAGAAAATTCCATAGATGAGTTCGATTGAAGATTAATTTTGCTACACGAAAAGAATAGTTTTACTGATATATCTACAAATTTAGTATCTGAAAATAATTTGGTTGAACTATTAAAATATTCATGCAGGACATTCAAATTGATTGCCAGAATTTTTCAGAACTTTTTGCGACATTGCTCATATTCGAGTTTCCATTTATAAATATCTTTATCTAACAAAATTATTTTTAGATTTGTAGATTTTTAGATTGTATAATCTAAATTTTTTAACAAAATTGTTCTTTCCGTTCTTAGAAAAATGTTGTCACTCTAGCTGGAATTTTAAATATTACAGTTAAAACATTATCATCATTGGTTTTTATCTAGTAGAAAATTGTCTGTTATATAAAATTATAGCAGCAATATTCTAACAATATGTAGAACAAAATGTCTCATAATCCAATCAGAACTGAATGAATCACAGCCATTTTTATATTCTATTATTTGACTAAACGTCACAAAGAGATTTTCTTATTAAATTTGACAAATAATTCAGATATGAAGAGCAGAATTCTAAAATGCATTTTGTCCGAAATTTTATTTTTTTAATTAGAGATGGCGTAGTATTCAGTGTTGAAAGACTCATATTATAATATAAGCTACTCTGAAATGTTCAGAAAGCATTTTTTTTATTGTTAATTTATATGCTGAAAAAAAATTAATTTTCCGAAGTGCATTATGTTTTTTAACATACAATTTTAACGTACATTTAACGTACTAGATACAAACAAATGCATTTGTTTAACATTTTTAGCAATTATTTAGCAATTTTGTTTAATATTTCACATTCTTCTGATTTTTTTGTAAAGTGCGTACGTAATTTTCTTGTGTGCGGATTTTCTTTTTCTTTCGTTTTCTTAATTACAAATATTTTTGACAAAACGCATTTTAAAAATCTACTCCTCATATATTTTTTCTCTGTTATCTATTGATTTCAAATATGCGATGTTCCAGTATGTGCTAGTCGTTTATCCATTTTAGCTAATTTTTCATATTGATATCAATATCTGAATATAATTTTCATATGTATATATTGTGTGTGTGTGTGTGTGTGTGTGTGTGTGTGTGTGTGTGTGTATGTGTGTGTGTAAATACACAAATTGTACGATTATTTCTTGAGTGCGTATATAGTTATGCATATGAAATGAACTATTTTGTTAAAATATCCAAAATTTTATCTTCAATGAAATTATTTCAAATGTATTTATACCTAAATTTTTTCATATTTTGGCAAAAAACGTTCTTTTTCTATACGGTTTTGCTGAAATATCTAAAAATTTTGCTAGATACAGAAAATAATTTTATTGAATTATTAAAGTAATTATATAAAATATTTAAGCGCTAATGAAAATGCTGCAAAAAGTTTTAATATTTTAGTAATCAATTCGAGCGTCCTACATAATTGTTTTAATGGTCCAAACGAAATTATTTTCAGATCTACTTAAATTTTCAGTAAAATTATTCTTTCCGTATATACGTATAGTTATTTCGTAATATTAATTAATTAAATTGTAAATTAATTTGTTAATGTAAAATTAAAGTTAATGTAAAAATTAATGTAAAAATGTAGACTAATTAGAAATTGAATTGCGATCAAAAGTTTAGTTTTTCACTCGCTTTATTCAGCGAAAAATTTTAAATGGCAAACTTGTTAACGAAGATAATGTTATATATAGGCCGAGAAGGCACGAAGGATGCTGTATCTGCGAGGACGAGAGGTAATCGCGCAAAGGGAAAGAGCAGCGGACATGAAACGAAGAAATGGAGCACTAATATACAACATCTTACCACCTCACGTAGCCGCATATTTCTTATCGCATGCAAGGCATTACGACGATCTTTACAGCCAGAGCTACGCCGAAGTGGGCGTGCTATTTGCCAGTATGCCAAACTTCGCGGACTTCTACAGCGAGGAGAGCATCAACAATCAAGGCCTCGAGTGTCTCAGGTTCCTGAATGAGGTCATCTCTGACTTCGACGCCGTAAGTTTCTCGTTGCTCATCTTATTTCTGTCAAGCTTCTCCATTATACTCGATAAACAAATTATCCGCAGCATGACGATAAATTGGCAGCAGATTTGCTCAGATTACTATAGATCCGGTATCATCTCTGTCATTTGTATTAAACTCGTGTTTTGTTAGCACAGTCTGCCGATATAATCCGATGGCAAATTGTCGATGGAAACTGAATAGAATCTATCATTTTGTAAATATATAAATGGAATACGACATTTAATCTTTCAAAGCTGACGTTAAAATCTGTAACATGTATGTAGCAAATTTGATTAGATGCACTTACGAACTGGTGTACATTAAAGTCATTGTACATAAATTGCAGACATAAAAATATGTGTTTAATATAAATACACTAAGAGAAAGATACTTAAAAATTTATTTGTGAGAAATATATTTCACTCAAATAAATCTTTATAAAGTTTTTCAAATGACAAAATAAACTTACATGATTATCAAGATTGAACTGTTTCTATAAGGTTTTTTACATGTTCCATAAATATCGAAGAAATTTCCTCTAAGTGCATAAAAACAGATTATTATATCGTAAAATTTTCAATACATTTTAGTATACTGTTAAGTAAAATTTATATTTTATAATTTAAAATATTTGTATTTTATTTTTATTACACAAATTAAACCAGTGCCTAGCAAACGAGAAATTATTGAAAAATATTGAAAGTTATTTATTGAAGCGATGTCGAATAAAGTTTTTGGATTTTATAATCCGTTTTCTATCTGTAATCCAGCTTGACACAATAATTACGGCTATTTGCTTTCTATATTTCACTCAATGTGCATTATAGAAATGAAACATGCGATCAATTCGATTGAATTATACGTATTAATCATTTACTTTTGATAACATACACAATGCACGTAATGAATTGTACGTTCAACCAATTAATTCATTCCAACTGCAATATTGCGGATTCACGGCGACAGAGTGATATTTAGACATAATCCTGGTCACTTCAGTGCAGGTTATATCCGGAAGTCATCCTGTCACCGTAGATCCGTAATGTTGTACACTTTGTAGTATACAGTACTAGGGTTATTTGGAAAGCAATTATTTATATATCTATAATCACCTCGATGCATATTTTCCAACATTACGTCACTTACTAGGATCACGAACGATTAACATATATTCATTTATATGAATCTACTAGAATCAACATTATTGTATTTATCTAGATGTATAGAAATGGATTCAATAGTTCAGTATTTACAAAATTCGATATCTTTTTCGCGAATAACGCGGATTCAAAAACTTGATTTATCCACGGATTTATCCAATTCAATCCGTTTTTATTTACTGGATGTACAACAGCTTTAACATGCATTAATGCGCATTAACGCGTCCAACCAAATTCGCTATACAATTCGCAATACCTACTGACATTACGTTTAAAAATCCATTTAACTTATGTTAATTACAAAGTACTAATTAATTTCAAATGACATACTTGTAATAAAAGGAATAAATATTATATAAATATATTTTTATAAGAATAATCCAAATTTGACATAATATAAAGAAAATTGAATTGTTCGACATTTTTGACAAAATGATTTTATAATTAAATAAGTCTAATAAATACAATGGATGATCGTAGAGTAGAATGTAGCGCAGCTGCTTGCTATGTCGAAAATGCAGAATTCAAATTCACTCAGAACATAAAAATTTGATTTGATTGAAACCTCTCGGAAGGCAATGCTAAACCGCTGAGAATATATTTGTCACCGTCGTTCAGAGCCGGCGTTAAAAACTGTAGGTCTATATATATATAACTGTAGTCTATATATCAATATTTATAATAGATATTTGCATCGATTCCCCAGGTTGAGGATTGAACATTAGGCTAACAATTTAATTCTGGAAAACTCATTGTTTCAAAACCTCATCTCTAGAGAGGCCTGGGTTCGATTTGGATCATAGTGTCATTGAATGGAATGGAATAAATCCAATCAGCTTCATAGAGTTAAATGATTACATATCGGCAGATTCTACTTAGTTTTTTTAACAAATAGCCTGTCATTATATTCTTTTAGTAGATTCTGTTATATTTCTGCTGGTATTTTATTGAAAAAATTTATAGGATATATATTGAGTTATCCGGAAAGTTCGTGCCGACTAACCTATATAATTTAATAAATGTATAACTAAAATTTAAATCTTCTTTCAATTTTCCTTCATCGGCACGAATTTTCCGGACAACCCAATACTTTCAAAATCTGCTCTCGACAGATTTGGCTGTAGCAGTTTACACCTTCTCCTATATTTTTTTTCATAATATCTTTGTATAATTTTATTCTGTCTGATTAGATCCTCGATCAGAAGAAATTTCATAGTATCATCAAAATTAAGACGATAGGATCGACCTACATGGCCGCTTCGGGAATATCCGAGGTGCAATCGGTGCAGTCAGAGGATGCTCCTCGATGGAGCCACCTCGTCACTCTTGTGGAGTTCGCTCTGGAACTTAAGAAAGCCCTGTCAAGCATTAACGAGCAGAGTTTTAATCACTTCGTTTTGAAAATGGGCATTAATCATGGACCGGTGACTGCTGGCGTCATCGGGGCGCGGAAACCTCACTATGATATTTGGGGCAACACCGTCAATGTCGCGTCGAGGATGGAGAGCACGGGGAAAGTCGCCTGCATTCAGGTATCGATCAGAAAGATGTATTAACAATGGCTTCTAAATATTTTAATGCATTTCTCTCATTGAGAGAAAAATGTACTAAATTTTAATAAATATTTATTTAAATATAGCCAATTGAACATTTATTAAATATAAACATATATATGTATTTCATTTATTTGGTACAAGAATCATTAATTTGATTTAACTGTTATTATTTTTTATTTAGCAAATATTTGTTTTTTGCAAATAAATGATATATTACTATTTAAATAATTATTTATTAAAATTTATTAAGTCTCAGTCTCCTTTATAGTTGCTACCACTGTATATTTTTTTATTAAATTTAGATAGTCGTATTAAGTACAAATAAATTTAGATAAAAAAATTTATCTAAGTTTAAAAAATAATAATTTGCAGGTTACCGACGAGACACGAAAGATATTGGAGCCGTTCGGTTTCGGCTTTGAGCAACGAGGTCTTGTCTTCGTTAAAGGCAAGGGTCAGCTCTTAACGCATTATCTTGTCTCCAAAGATGGCGTTTTTCTCGATCTTGATAGCGATCTCCCTGTTGAACCTACCCACCCGATAATCTATCAGTAATTTCGAAGGCTCTAACTCGAACGAGAAATAATTTTTCACCGGAGATATAAATCCAGTTGTTCAAAAAGAACACGTTATGATTTTTCTCGGTAGGTATCGGGCTGGACGTTCAGAGGGAACTGAACGTCCAACTTGATAACTTCTGGGAACTGATGAATCACGATCATAAATTAGACGACGTCTTTATACACCGAACAGATTTTTTCTCAAGGACGTTCGACAAATTAAATGTGTATTGTTGTAGAGAACTCTCTAAATGTTAGGATCCTTGTGTCTCAAGAGAGAGAGAGAGAGAGAGAGAGAGAGAGAGAGAGAGAGAGAGAGAGAGAGAGAGAG